TCATTTATTTTTGGTGCTTGTAAATAAACAAACAAAGGCCACACAGAATTCTATTAAATATTTAGAAACCCACAACAAGTGTGGCCACATTCATTAACATGGTTCAGGACAATATGCATGTAAAACGCTACACGTTTCTTGTGGAAAAATACTAAAAGAGGGTGAGGACACTCATCAGAGGAACAAGTAACAGCATCAGAGAACCACACAGAGAAGAAGCCTCAGATACCTTCACTTGCTCTGGGACCCATTCATCTGTGAACAGGGAATATAATGCAATGAAATGTAACTTCACAGCAGAAATCAACAGAAACCTTCATTTACAAATGATTAAAATAAGTAATATTCACCTGTGTTCCCTTCAGACAACATCAGAGGACCCATGGATATGGAAGCACTGTCATGGAAGTCCAGAGACCTGCGCTCTCTCCGCTGGTGTTCAGAGTTACAGTCCTAAAAGAGATGTGTAATAAATGTCACTGAAATATAATCACAGTTCACAGAACAATAGTCCACAAAGTGTCCAGCAGAGGGCAACCACAACAAGAATTTTACCAACCTTACATACTGACATTGAAGCATTTGTTTCAAGTTCTAACAATAAACCACCCTATGCAAATGTTTTGTTTGAAAGCAACCAAAGTTTTAATAATAAGCAAACACATCATAAATCCATCTTGTAACCATGCATTTGCTTTATCCTTCACTTTGCCAAGCTTAAAATAATTTATATTGTAGAGCTGTCAATGTGTGTTTTGCAGAAAATTATATGCACTGGGAAAAAAAAATTGAAGGATACATTTCTCTCCAAAATTTCCTGTAAGTTGTAAAAGTAAAGGCTACACACAATTCTTGGTGGCTTTAATTAGAAAGCTTACGCTGTATAAAGTAAATTATACACTTTGTAAAAGTTTAAGTAGCCTAATGCTTCTAAAAAAAACTATCATTTTAATGCTACTATCTTAAATATTGCATAACATTACTACAACTCAATGGGTTCAATAAAAATATCTGAACATAACCCAATTACATTGACTTTTTTTTACATAAGAAATTTATTTAATGTCTGAATTTTAAATGTATTAATTCATTAAAAGATAAAACAAAATCTGTTCTGCAAAAGAACAGATGAAACGTAAGATAAAATAACATTGCCAATACACATACAGTACAGGAAAGTTATTTAGCATTGTATAGGTTGTACAGCGAGTATAAACTCAATTTATCTTAAAAAACGATGAGTCCTCAGTCTTTAAATAAAAACCGGTCTCGAGCTCGTCCCACCAAAACAATGCAGAAACGGTGTGAATTAATAGTTCCTTATGAGCCATTTCAGCACATTTAACAAAGTTAAGCAATAAGCATAATTATCTCTACCAAAGTTCACACAGTTCTAGCACTCATATTGACATTAAATGTCTGCAGTCTGCCTATACTATAATAATATGTTTAAGAAATATACTTACAAGCGTTTTCGCTAGTTCGTAGTTCGCTAAAAACGATCTGGGATGAATGCATTAGTTTATAAGCTTAGCATGCAAATTCAACGGTGAGCTATATTAATAGTTTAACTCGGCTACATGATAACTTGGTTATTCATATGCATAATAAAAATAAACCAACTACGTTAACAAACGTGCACATGGACATTATAATTAACTCGATAATAAGAATCCAGTGTAACCTGCAACAAGACACTACAAACGTTCCTAAATGGCTTAACAGTTGAATATTGCCCCACTGTAGTTTAATCGATATTCCTTAAGTTAAAGGTGACCTATTATGCAAAAATCACTTTTATAAGGTGTTTGAACAGTTGTGTAGCTGCAGTGTGTGAAAACAACCAGCCTATAAGGGTAAAAATCCACACACTCATTTTATTATAATCCCAATAAATCATAAACAGTCTCTCCAAATGAGCCATTCCAGATTTCTCCCTATAATGACATTATACTAGGGAAAGTCCAGCTCATTTGTGACGCTCTCTGCCCTATTAGCATAGACCCCACCCTGAGAGAGAAGCAGCAGTCCGCCATTGCTGTTTTCATGCTGTAGCTGCTGGAGATACACTGTCAGCACCAAAGAGGTGTTGTGTTTCGGGATGCACCAACGAACACAGGAGTCTCCATAGACCACTGAGCACACGGTGGTTAAATTTCATTTACGAAGGAAATGTCCTGGAAAAAAACTGAAAAGTCCTATATGTTTGTGCTAATCATTTTATGCCAGACTGCCTCACAAACGAGGGTCAGTTCAGCTGGAGCTGTGCAAATATTGTTTCTGAAAGAGGGATCGATACCAACGCTTCGTGCGCGAACGTCAGCTCCAGACAACGTAAGCATCACTTGTCAAATTTTGTTTTCCAAAAGAGCTTCTTGGCTCTCTGTAAGGCGAATGTTGCTAAAGCTACCATTGTCTCTGTCTGTTTTCACTGATGCTGCCTTCACGTGCTACCAGAATGATTGTAATTAGGAATGTGGAAGTTAAAAATTGCATATGAAAGCAATGTGAAGTTGACCGCTTGAATTTGTCGAGCTCATAATGTGATAGCATGCAAAGGCACCATGAGACCAGCTATGTCGTTATTTTTATCGCTCCGTGCTCCCCGTCTGTGTAATTCATAAACGTGCATTTACTGCACAGTACAATCAGATTGCATAATATTTTTCCTGTTTTGCCGGAGCATGAGCTCTTGAAGCTCCGCCCTCTTCTGAAAAGAGAGACGGGAGCACCAGCTCATTTGCATTTAAAGGGACAAACACAAAAATGGCGTGTTTTGGCTCATACCCTAAAAATGGCAATTTCAACAAGCTATAAATATTATCTGTGGGGTATTTTGAGCTAAAACTTCACATACACACTCTGGGGACATCAGAGACTTATTTTACATCTTGTAAAAAGGGGCATAATAGGTCACCTTTAAATCTCCTAAATTGCGGAGAAAAATACTTCCGCTGGACAAGCCCACCAATTCTAATGTCAGAGTGGCGCATGCACATTTTTTACAAGGCTTTTTAGCATAAATTTTATTTGCATTTGTTATTGGTTTCTATCAATTGATTAGATGACAGAAGACATTTCCATTGAAATGTACTTTTATTTGCACAAATAATTACAAAGAAACGGCAGGTAATACATCACATTAAACTTGACGTTTAAGTAGAATAACTGAGATACTATACTAAATATACCCCAATAACATTTGTTTTACATATAACTTTACAAAAAAATTACAGTGTACTTCTGTCATTCGTTCATGCAAGTTTATGTCATATCCATAAATAAAGAACAGAAGGACAGGCTACTATATACAGTGGAAGGTGTCATCGTAGCTTGAAGCCACAACAAATTAACCTCAAACTGAAAGCAGTTTTTAAGCAAAAAGAGAAAGAAACAGTACCTGTAATAAAACTAAAGGGGGCCAAAAGTACATAGTTTAGTTTTTTACATCATTTATACATATTTGAATTGATCTACATTTAATTACAACTACATTTAAGATCAATTATTCAAAAATGTAATAACCACGAAATGTTTGTAAACTCACCATTGAGCAGCGATTACTTGACAGAAGGCACAGGTGAACAGCGCAGTGCAGGTAAAGCTTAGAGGAGTTTGCAGTGAAGATAAACATCCTGAAGGAGAAACGGCTGGATGTCGAGACGCCGTTCTGCAGCAGCTCCACTGTGTCGTCATTTGGATTGGGACACCTGAGAATAGCAATAATGACAAATTCTATATTATTTTTTGGACTATTTTTCCTCAAATAAATGCTGCTTTGGTGAGCATGAGAAAAAAAAAGTAACTTTTCTCGAACATTTCTACAGTAGTATACACCAAGGTTCTCTTAGCATATTAGTGAAACAGTACAGTACTTTACCAGTGGTTGATGTCTCATTAAGGCCTCTGACATCTGATATGAGAAAGATTTCTGTTAATGTCACTCATTCCAAAAAATAATCCCACAATAGTGAACAAAGTGTATGTGGTTAGATGTATCTACCTGCACAGTACGCTGAACAAAACCTAGGCTTGACAAACTCATAAACATAGTAGTTTCCAGGACAGGCTTTGACTCTTATAGGGTGGGATGTGTAATCACAGCAGTCACCCCATGGGAGACAGACCTGACGGGTGACAACTCCATCTTCCAGCTGTGGATGAGCGCCGTTGAGTGACAACGGATTATAAGTGCCACACATGCCATAATTAACACATGATTCTGGCATCTGAGTATTTTGACCATTGTAGAACAGCCTGTACCAGCCATTCCACTCCACATTATAATCACACATGCCATTGTAGTAATAGTTACTATAATAAGGATTGTCTGTGGCTCTCCAAGGCTCATCCAGACTGGTGTAGTTATAGCAGGGATCGATGCTTAGAGTGGAGAAAGGTACTATTATAAAAAATAAAAAAAAGAGAAAAAGACTGTTATATAGTGCCAAATAAATTATTCCAAGATAATATTATGAAAACCTCAATATAAACGCATGTAAAATACAAAGAATTAATGAATGTACCTGCACAATATACAGGAGCTGGGATTGAAAGAGTTGGTCTGGTAAATTTGTAGACGTAATAATTTCCAGGACAAGATTTAACTTGGATTGGTTCAGATCTGTAGCGACTGCACTGATCATAGTAAGAGCCGTAAATTTCACGAGTAACAACTCCATCTTCTAGCTGAGGATGAGAGCCGCCAAGATACAGGGAACTAAAACCTCCACATGACATAAATGATGCACACCACTCAGGCATCTGAGCACTTGATCCATCAATGAAGAGCCGATACCAGCCATCCCATTCTACACAAGTGTCATCATGATCAGAGATGTATCCATACATGGACCCGTAATTGAGTGTGCTTCTCCAGTAGTTGTCAAGTATGTTGTAGTTATTGCACGGATCATAATCTGTGTTAGTGAGAGACCAAAACAGACCAGTTATATTTCAATGAGCAAATTCATGACTGCAAATCTAAACTAATCAAACACATTAACAAACAAACATGAGATTTCACTTTCATTGCCAAAAAAAGATAGACAGACAGACAGACAGACAGACAGACAGACAGACAGATAGATAGATAGATAGATAGATAGATAGATAGATCTTACTCAAGGTAATGCTGGATCCAGTAATTATATCTGGACTTAATCGACCGTTCGACCGTGAAATGGTGCTGACATCTGAAAAGGAGAACATTCGAGACATTAATTAAATTTATGTAATTTTAAAAGTTTTATAGATAGATAGATAGATAGATAGATAGATAGATAGATAGATAGATAGATAGATAGATAGATAGATAGATAGATAGATAGATCTTACTCAAGGTAATGCTGGATCCAGTAATTATATCTGGACTTACAGTGGAAATCGACCGTGAAATGGTGCTGACATCTGAAAAGGAGAACATTCGAGACATTAATTAAATTTATGTAATTTTAAAAGTTTTGAAAGACTTTGTTTAAAAGACGGAGTGAGAGAGAGAAAGAGGAAGAGAAAGAGAGAAAAAGCACATTACCTGTGCAGTATCCTGAACACCCTAATTGTGGTTTCACAAGTTCATAGACATAGTAATTTCCTGGACACGCTTTCACTCTGAGGGGGTTTGTCTTGTAATCACAGCAGCCACTCCAATAATAATTACCACAGACCTCTCTGATCACCCCTCCATCCTCTATCTGAGGGTGAGGACCATTGAGCCACAGAGAATAGTATGTGTTACAGCTGTATGATCTAACACAGGTCTCTGGCATCTGGATGTTCATTCCATAGTAGAAAAGCCGGTACCAGCCATTCCAGGAGAAACGTTCATCACAAACGTAACCTCCACTTTCATTGTTGGCTCTCCAGGGACGATCCAGAGACTCATAGTTGTAGCAGGGATCACTGCTGATGCTGCTGAAAGCAACTGTGATGGACAAAAGAAAAATGTTAAGTTATGCAAACATTTTTTGTGTAAGAGATAAATAAAATGTATAAATGTCATTGCAGATGAATTGTGTATTTTTTTTCAAATACGTTCTCCGATCTCAGTTTAACTTTAAGTTAGCCATTCCAAGGGTGAGTTTTCCAAAAGAGTCTAAACTTTTATTTTATTTTATTTCCCACAGTTTGTTTGAGGAGTCCAACACAACAACTTCTGGTTTAAGTAAAGTTATATTTGGAGCAAGACTATATGTAATAGTCTGTTTAACAGGGATCTGACTATTTTTTCTGAACAGGCATTGTACAAGTATGATCTGGGTAACATTATTATCACCAATTTTGTTAGGAACAGAAATGACACAATTCAATTTTAAATTTTGTTTTGTACATTTTTTAGTAATT